TACACGTCCCGGGCGCCGCCGGGTCCTCGACACCGGACACGGAGGGGTAACTTAACTGCCACGGAATAACAGCTACACCAACATCTACACGAACCCGGTACATCAGAGGACCGCTGTGGAGCCCCGTCGACGGTGTGGAGCCCCACCGACGGTGTGGAGCCCCGCCGACGGTGTGGAGCCCCGCCGACGATGTGGAGCCCCACCGACGGTGTGGAGCCCCACCGACGGTGTGGAGTCCCGCCGACGGTGTGGAGCCCCACTGACGGTGTGGAGCCCCACCGACGGTGTGGCGCCCCGATCGACGGTGTGGAGCCCCACCGACGGTGTGGAGCCCCACCGACGCTGTGGAGCCCCACTGACGCGGTGGAGCCCCGCCGACGGTGTGGAGCCCCACCAACGGTGTGGAGCCCCACCGACGGTGTGGAGCCCCACCGACGGTGTGGAGCCCCACCGACGGTGTGGAGCCCCACCGACGGTGTGGCGCCCCGATCGACGGTGTGGAGCCCCACCGACGGTGTGGAGCCCCATCGACGCTGTGGAGCCCCACTGACGCGGTGGAGCCCCGCCGACGGTGTGGAGCCCCACCAACGGTGTGGAGCCCCACCGACGGTGTGGAGCCCCACCGACGGTGTGGAGCCCCACCGACGGTGTGGAGCCCCACCGACGGTGTGGAGCCCCACCGACGGTGTGGAGCCCCGCCGACGCTGTGGAACCCCACCGACGCTGTGGAGTCCCACTGACGGTGTGGAGCCCCGCCGACGGTGTGGAGTCCCGCCGACGCTGTGGAGTCCCACCGACGCTGTGGAGCCCCGCCGACGCTGTAGAGCCCCGCCGACAGCGTGGAGCCCCGCCGACGCTGTGGAGTCCCACCGACTGTGTGGAGCCCCACCGTCGCTGTGCCCCGACTACTCTGTGGAGCCCCGCCGACACTGTGGAGCCCCGCCGACGGTGTGGAGCCCCGCCGACGCTGTGGAGCCCCACCGACGCTGGGGAGTCCCACTGACGGTGTGGAGCCCCGCCGACGGTGTGGAGCCCCGCCGACGCTGTGGAGTCCCACCGACGCTGTGGAGCCCCACTGACGGTGTGGAGCCCCGTCGACGGTGTGGAGCCCCGCCGACGCTGTGGAGTCCCACCGACTTTGTGGAGCCCCACCGTCGCTGTGCCCCGACTACTCTGTGGAGCCCCGCCGACACTGTGGAGCCCCGCCGACGGTGTGGAGCCCCGCCGACGCTGTGGAGCCCCACCGACGCTGTGGAGCCCCACCGACGCTGTGGAGTCCCACCGACGCTGTGGAGCCCCGCCGACGGTGTGGATCCCCATCGACTGTGTGGAGCCCCACCGTCGCTGTGCCCCGACTACGCTGTGGAGCCCCGCCGAAGCTGTGGAGCCCCGCCGATGCTGTGGAGCCCCGCCGACGCTGTGGAGCCCCGCCGATGCTGTGGAGCCCCGCCGACGCTGTGGAGCCCCGCCGATGCTGTGGAGCCCCGCCGATGCTGTGGAGCCCCGCCGACGGTGTGGAGCCCCGCCGACGCTGTGGAGCCCCGCCGACGCTGTGGAGCCCCGCCGACGCTGCAGATATCCAGTAGTATTGTTACAAAGACGCAACAAAGCTGCATAAACCAATCGCAAGTCACCAACTACGCCGCTATAGAGTCACGAGGTCGGCAAAACAGCTGGAAATTTCCCACACAACGAAACTGAAATATATGAGATAGGCAGGAAGTGTTGAGCTAAGAGGTCCTGTAGAACCTACGGGGTGCGACATGCGTGGAGTGTACAGGTGCGTGAAGTGTACAGGTGGGTAAAGTGTACAGGTGCGTGAAGTGTACCGGTGCGTGAAGTGTACCGGTGCATGTAGTATACCGGTGCGTGTAGTGTACCTGTTGGAAATTTCCAACACTAATAAACTACTATTGTATTATAATACATCATCATTATTATATACTAACTACAGTAGTTCCTAATTTTACTAACGGTAGTGTCAACATAAATTAAACCATTTCATCTGCGTATTAGTGCTAGAATTCTCATGAAATCGAGTAGCAACATTGCGTCAGATAATGTCCAGTTAGACACGTTTATTACCAATGTGTTAGAGAATTGAATGTGGTTCTCTAAAATTATCAGTATGCCGTGTAATAATTACCTACGGATAATATGTCTCCCGATAATCTAAAACCGAGAGTTATTAACTAAAATTGTTATCAAGTAGCAGTTTTATCTGTTACGTGCGAATGCCATGGAGAAAATAAAATCTTCTCCATTTATCGTTTAACACCATAAAACGAGAATATGATAATATTTAAGTCCCTATAATTGCAACCCAGTTCTCATTAACGTATTACATCCATAATTGCGCGGAAAAGAATTATTCGTGATTAATAATTTCTGTGGTGAATGCGAGAGACGGGTTGAGGGAGGGGGAGACGCCATTGTGCGAGAGGAGGCATCCCTGGCGTGAAGAGTGGCGAGACACGTGGTAGTGACTGGGGAATTTATCGGCAAGAATTACGTTGATACTCGGTCAACAGTTAATAATTACTTATCCACGTGTTCTATAGTGCCCAGCCAGTTAATAACGCGTCAACAATTGAAGCCAAGACCCGTAATTACACGTACACAGCAGTGGACGTCAGGGACTGGCTGACGCGGTTTCGGCAGACCTCAGTATTTAGTACGCTCATGTTAAGTATATGTTTCTCGTTTGATGCATCATCTTAGATTATATATTTGTGAGTAGTCTGTCGTCATATAGCGAGGATACCCAATATACAACGTTAGTAAAATTTCGACAATTTCCTCCGTTTTCATGAATATTGAAAATAAAATGTAGCCTATTCAAATGCTACTTAAATTTCTCTGATTTCAGCGTGTATACGAGGAGTCAAGTTGTTTCTCATCATTCGTGATATTCACCTCGAGTTCTTTCTTTGTGGAGATCCTGTGACCACGAGGACGAATGACGAAATGATGTTACAGAAATCGTCCTAAAGCTAAGACATTTTTTCATGCAAATTTATTTAATATGATTAATGATTCTTAAATAAATCCTGTAGAATCTTTGCATTGAATAGATTATTATTGATATGATGATTGGTAATTAATGATAAAGTGATGATTGGTAATTAATGTGTTTTGCTCAGACTGTTGCTCAGTAATTCATGATCTTTAATATTCACAATTTGAGTTCTCATATTTTGAATCTATAGTAGTTTAGATATATTATATAATTTACTCAACAATGAACTGGTGGCGAACCACACTGGTTCCTAGATATATATGAATTTCTAGATATACCCCCCCCCCCAATATAGGTCTTTGAGGCTCTGACTTTAATTAATAATACAGTCCATTCATTATTTCAAGTGATTATTCCTTTAATGATTATCCATAGGCACTGGTTCTCTAGTGTTATTCTAATGATCACTTCTATTAGTTTCCCTCTTTTCTCAAAAATGGGTGGTCCTTCGATTTATTAAATCCAATAAGTAAATAATGGAATATATGAGTCAAGCCACAGATATCCCACAGTACCGGTGTGTGAAGTGTACACGTGCATGAAGTGTACAGGTGCGTGAAGTGTACAGGTGCGTGAAGTGTACCGGTGCGTGAAGTGTACCGGTGCGTGTAGTGTACCGGTGCGTGAAGTGTACCGGTGCGTGAAGTGTACCGGTGCGTGTAGTGTACCGGTGCGTGTAGTGTACCGGTGCGTGAAGTGTACAGGTGCGTGTAGTGTACCGGTGCGTGAAGTGTACCGGTGCGTGAAGTGTACAGGTGCGTGAAGTGTACAGGTGCGTGAAGTGTACAGGTGCGTGAAGTGTACAGGTGCGTGAAGTGTACAGGTGCGTGAAGTGTAACAAAGGGGATATTAAAGTGTTCAACTTTAATTTTAAAGTTGAACTTTAACGTTGAACACCGCAACACAGAACACGAAACAATGGATAAAATGTGGATAAGCTTAGACTGAGGAAACATCTGGTTAAATATTGCTTTGGAAAAAAGTGGTTGATAATTCATAGAACAGGTTACAGGGTAATATAATAGACATGTGCTCGCTGGGTTTATATATATATATATATATATATATATATATATATATATATATATATATATATATATATATATATATATATATATACACATATATATATATACATATATATAATGTCCATTCCTATGTAGCTCCAACTCTATTATCCTAGTGACAATATTCTATATCAAAACCGACCATCAAGGAGTCCCTGGCTGTGTTTCTTCCTACACCGCTGCACCTGTTAGTGATGAGTGTGGCTCACACACACCCTCAGGTCTGGCCAGGTAGCTCCATCAAAGTTGTTCCGGACAATATATGTTTTTTAGATATCTCCACAAACTCTGACTAGTCTCGCGATCTTCGCTTTCCAATGTTTTCCTTTTGTTTACCTCTGTATGGGTTCGGACTCCATCTCTGTAGGCGCTGGCCCCTCCCCTCATATCCAGGTGCTGACCACTGGCTCTCTCTCTCAGACTGTGGCCGGGGCACTCCAGCGCCCACAACAACCTGGGCACACTTCTTAACGACACCTCGGAGGCCGAGAACCACTTCCGGATGGCCCTGAAGGCCCACCCACACCACGCCCACGCCTACTACAACTTGGCCAACCTCAGACAGTAAGTGACATTTAAGTTACACCATCTTTCGTGTCCTCTGCTTTCTGGTTAACCTCTTACAGCAGATACGTGATCATTTCTGACTGCCTACACCCTCCACGCCCCACACGAGCACATGTTGTACACCTCACAGGAGGAACAGTATCAGCTTATTTACACCGTACGGAACCGTACCAGTACCGTACCTTGTTACACCGTACCGAACCGTACCAGTACCGTACCTAGTTACACCGTACCGAACCGTACCAGTACCGTACCTTGTTACACCGTTGTATGGTACACAGTCCACCCACCACAATACACACCATTTATACATATGCTACACACCTCCACCAACCTAACCTAGCAACGTCAGTAATTCATGTTCGTAGTATAATATAAAATTAATTAGAATAAACAAATTTGAAAAGAAATAGTTAAAAATAACGAAAATCACTCTGCTTGTTAGTCAAATGGATCCTTGCATACTAGGCCAAGTAGTGCGGTTCTGGCTAAGGAACCCTTGGGTTCCCTTAGCTTATATTCTGTGGCTTAAACCTGGACTAGAGGAAATAATTGACCACATCACCCGACTGCACTCGGGCATGGGGTTATATGAGTGCAAAAGACTCTCCCCATGCTTATTGTTGGCTGGTGGTACAGTGGTACAGCACTCTGCTTTGTGGAGTGGTGGTACAGTGGTACAGCACTCTGCTTTGTGGGGTGGTGGTACAGTGGTACAGCACTCAGCTTTGTGGGGTGGTGGTACAGTGGTACAGCACTCAGCTTTGTGGGGTGGTGGTACAGTGGTACAGCACTCTGCTTTGTGGGGTGGTGGTACAGTGGTACAGCACTCAGCTTTGTGGGGTGGTGGTACAGCACTCAGCTTTGTGGGGTGGTGGTACAATGGTACAGCCCTTAGCTTTGTGGGGTGGTGGTACAGTGGTACAGCACTCTGCTTTGTGGGGTGGTGGTACAGTGGTACAGCACTCTGCTTTGTGGGGTGGTGGTACAGTGGTACAGCACTCAGCTTTGTGGGGTGGTGGTACAGTGGTATAGCACTCAGCTTAGTGGGGTGGTGGTACAGTGGTACAGCACTCTGCTTTGTGGGGTGGTGGTACAGTGGTACAGCACTCAGCTTTGTGGGGTGGTGGTACAGCACTCAGCTTTGTGGGGTGGTGGTACAATGGTACAGCCCTTAGCTTTGTGGGGTGGTGGTACAGTGGTACAGCACTTAGCTTTGTGGGGTGGTGGTACAGTGGTACAGCACTTAGCTTTGTGGGGTGGTGGTACAATGGTACAGCACTCAGCTTTGTGGGGTGGTAGTACAATGGTACAGCACTCAGCTTTGCATTACCCTGGCAGAAGAACTAGTCCCAGCAAGGGAATTTGGAACTTTCAAGTATATATATATATAAAGAAAAAAATTGGGAAGGGAGTATACCACCTCTGGCTGGAAGAAGGGGGACCCTTAGCCTCGGAGGAAACCACACATAACGCATTAGAGGGAATGTTTAGGTCTCTCCAATACAGTTTCTGTGTACTTTTCTAGTACCACCCCCTTCCCTATGGTTGTTTTTTGCTTTATTGTATGTACTTAAAGGTTACAAGATATACATTGGTTGATGCAAAGAGTGCTCAAAGGTTGTGGATCTCCTGAAGCTCATCCGCTTCCGGACAGGAACCGAGGATGCAGCAGGCGTTTGCCCCTCTGGATCGCCACACTGAGACGCTGAAGCAAAAAACTGGCAGCTCTTGGGTCATACCCAGTTTCAAGTGTAGATATGATTGAGCCCAATAGGCTCAGGAACCTGTACACCTGTTGTTTGACGGTTGAGAGGTGGGGCCAATGATCCAAAGCTCAACCCCCGCAAGCACAATTAGGTGAGTACAATTAGGTGAGTTCACACACACACACACACACACACACACACACACGACGTTTTTCCTGATAAGGAACAAATGCGAGAGTGAACGTGAGCGCCGTCCTGCTGGCATGCCGATCGTTACAGAAAAATATACACCCTTGAGAATTTGCCCAGCTTCGCTCCTACCAAATTCAGCCCCCGTTTGTTTTGTTTCACGTTGCAGGCAGTTAGATATCTGAATTATTTAAGCGTCTGAAAAAGAGGTGCTGGTGGCAGGGAATTCCTCCCACCAGCTCGTCCTGCCTTTCAACCCAACGAACACTATAGCATTTTGGGAGGATCTGGAAGTGTTACTGGAAGATAATCCTCTCTAACCTTGTCTCCCCACCAGGCAGCAGGGTCGCATGGTGGAGGCGGTGACGCTGCTGGAGGAGAGTCTACGCCACGATGCAACCAACAGGGATGCCGTGTCGGCCCTGGCTGGGCTCTACAGCGAGGCCGGACGCTCTACGGAGGCCGAGAGCCTCCACCTGGCACTGTTAGCTGCCCGGCCCTCAGACCCGGTGGTCCACAACAACTACGCCGCCTTCCTCCAGAAGATCGGTGAGTCCATCTTGCCGCCGCAACCCCCACCTCTCCTGTAGAGGAATAGTAAGTGCCTCCACTCCCTTATTTCCAACCCTTACTCCGAATGGACGGTACGTTTAAATACTAAACATAATAAGTACATTCCTGACTGTCTGCATAGTACATATATACACTTAATTGTGCTGTTACATTTACCTCCCCATATATTCTCATTTTCTGTTAATACACTCAAAATTTATAGGATGCAGTTTTCGTGTTCAATACATAAGTTTTAAATATAAAGATTTTTTTTTAGTTTTATTAAACAATAGAGATTTTATACAAAATTTTAAAATATCCTTCTTAAAATTATAAGATAACCAAGATATATTCTGAGTTACTTTATAATTTATTGAGAGACTTTAGTTTTGTATTATTAGTTTTATACAATTGTAATATCAATATAGCTATAGGTTAAGTACTAATTGTATTTAAGAATCGAGCAGAGGGTCTTAGTTGACATGGACTTGAAACCCGCCATATACTGCAGGTATGTTGACGACATTTTTATGCAGGTACCTGATGTCAGACGTCTGCAGCAGCTGAAGGAGGCATTCGAGCAGAATTCTGTGTTAAGTTTCACTTACGAGATGGAGAATGATGGGAAGCTGCCCTTTCTAGATGTAACAGTCACGGAAAGGAACGGAGGCTTCCACACTGCAGTCTACACTAAGGAAACAAACATAGGAATGTGCCTCAATGCCAATAGTGACTGCCCAGACAGGTACAAGAGGAGTGTTGTCAACGCTTACGTCGACCGGGCTCTCAGTCACAGCTCAGGATGGAAGCAAGTCGATGAAGAACTCTGTAGGGTAAGGCAGGTCCTAGTCAACAATGGCTTCTCTAACGGTTATGTTGAAGACGTCATAAAAAGAAAGGTGAAACGCCATGCAACCTCTGAAGAGTCAACTAACACAACACTTGTACCCCCTATTAGACTGTTTTACAGGAACTTCTTTTCGACGGCTCATAAAACGGAGGAAAGGGTCCTGAAAGATATTATTGATAGGAACGTTATCCCTACAGACAAAAATCAGAAAATACAATTGACAATTTACTACAAAAACAAAAAACGGCCAACCTACTCATGAAAAACTCCCCAGACACCAAACAGAACGCCTTGAAGGAAACCAACGTCGTCTATGCCTTCACATGCCCACTTGGGGACTGTAAGCCCCAAAGAACTCAGTATATAGGCAAGACAACAACGTCTCTTTCTAGGCGATTAACAATGCACAAACAACAGGGCTCCATCAAGGAACATATAATCTCTTCTCACAACCAGACCATCACCAGAGAAATCTTAACAAGCAACACAGAAATCATCGATAGATACAGCGATAGCAGGAGACTCGACATCAGCGAGGCACTACACATCAAAAAGTCAACACCAGCAATCAACAGCCAATTAATGCACAACTATATTCTACCCACTTCAAGACCCCGAACCAACATAAGAGCAACAAGAGAAAGTATGGGCTAATAGGCCTTCTGTAGTTACTTCCATTCATATGTTTTCATAGCCATTGATTCGTACCCACCTCACCCAAAACTTTTGTGCCATATCACCTCACCCAAAACGAGTATAAGTATGATGTATGTTATGTGTAAACTAGTCTTTGAAAATGTAAGAAGCCTTACGAAACGCGTTCAGGCGTCAGACCAAAAATAAAAATGTAAAGAATGAATTTTGGAGAGTTAATTTTTCAATTACCCTCGACAGTGAAGAAAACATAAGAAATATTGAGAAGATTCGTGTTAGAATTATTAATCTTACCCTTTCGGTCATATTCAACAACATATGTCTACAAGATACTGTTATATATATATATATATATATATATATATATATATATATATATATATATATATATATATATATATATATATATATATATATATATATATATATATATATATATATATATATATATATATGTCGTACCTAGTAGCCAGAACTCACTTCTCAGCCTACTATGCAAGGCCTGATTTGCCTAATAAGCCAAGTTTTCATGAATTAATGGTTTTTCGTCTACCTAACCTACCTAACCTAACCTAACCTAGCTTTTTTGGCTACCTAACCTAACCTTACCTATATAGTATAGGTTAGGTTAGGTTAGGTAGGGTTGGTTAGGTTCGGTCATATATCTACGTTAATTTTAACTCCAATAAAAAAAAATTGACCTCATACATAGTGAAAAGGGTAGCTTTATCATTTCATAAGAAAAAAATTATAGTAAAAATATTAATTCAGGAAAACTTGGCTTATTAGGCAAATCGGGCCTTGCATAGTAGGCTGAGAAGTGCGTTCTGGCTACTAGGTACGACATATATATATATATATATATATATATATATATATATATATATATATATATATATATATATATATATATATATATATATATATATATATATATA